GGCCAACGGGCCGAGCCCGGGCAGCCGCCCCCCAGGACGCGGGCCCGCACACACGACAGCCGGCCCAGTGAGTGCTGCCACCTTATTTCCAGTCTTTTTATTTAAGATCCTTGTCAGATTTGACACAATTGTACAATCTGACACTCTGTAAGCAGGTCGCCGTTTACTAAGCACAACTCTGTGAAATATTTCTGATACCACAAAAAGTACCATTTCATTTTAATATCCTTTTTTTAAGGTTTTTGTCATAGGTCACATACACTTGCCAGAGAGACAGAGAGGAAAGTGAGAAGTCACCTCCCTGGGGGTGGCCATGCCAAATCACTCCTTCCTCATTCTCCTCTTAGGATTTTGGGCCTGTGTTCACACGCATCCCATGTGCTTTTCAAGCCACCATCGGGTCCAGGACTAACGCTTGGGCAGCCACGTGGGAGGACAGTGCCTTAAACAGCATGCACCTGCTGGCCCCTTATTCTAACAGCCTTTAGGGTAAACCCCAGAAGGCCTTCCAACGAGGGGCTGTCAGGAAATACGTGAAATAGCCGTCAAGAGCTTCCTTGACTCTGGGATGTGAACTTGAGCCCCAAATCCACAGGAAGCAGAAGCTCATGGTGCCGACTGCAGAGCCGTGTTCCCTCCTTCTTCTCCGAGGTCTAAAGGGGCAGAGGGGCCTCCCGTATCCTGCGGAGAGGCGGCCCCCCACCGCGGACGTGTGCTCACCATCCTGCACGTCCACGTGAGCAGGTGCTGGCGGCTTTCTCGGCCCGACCGTCCCCTGCCACATTCCCACCCAGAAACCCGGCCAGTCGAGTCCTGTTGCCAAGCAGCCTTCCCTGTACCTTAAAAGCACAAGCCTCTACAAAGGCAGCCTCCTCACGTAACAGCCATGCAATCCGGACGGCAGAGCTGCATGAGCCGCCGGATAGCAAAGTAGGAAGGGAAATCAGGCGAGGGTTCCTGGGACAGCGAGAGGACTTACCCCAGGCCACGGATCATCAGCTTCTCTTCTTCCCGGCCCATCCTCACGCTCAGCAGAGAGCGGATCTGCCCGAGGGACGCCAGCAGGCTGACGGTGTCCTCCACAGAGACGCTGTTGATCGTGTAGGTCTTCGGCAGAGCCCGAACCAGCCCCCCGATGCCATCATACTGCCGGTGCAGGAGCACAAACATGGCCCTCACCAGCTCCGGGTCTTCGATGACGGCCTCCTGAGCCCACCGCACCATGGTCTCAGAGATCAGCTGCTGCAGGCTGGCTGTGTGGGGAGACAGGAGTGAGGGAGGTGGCCGGAGGGCCCTCAGCCTGCAGACCACAGACCACAGCCCACAGCCCTCAGCTGGCAGCACGCAGCACACAGCCCGCAGACCGCAGCCCTTGGCCCACGGCACATAGCCCGCGGCCCGATGCAGGAATCTCTACGTGCACCAGAGTCAAAAGGCCAAGTACATTCTTTTTTTTTTTTTTTTTTTGGAGCAGTTTTTTTGCAATAGGGCATGTGCGCTCGCCAGACAGAGAGAGACAGAGAGACAGAAAGTGAGAAATCACCCCCCAGGGGGGACGGTCACGCCGCAATCCCTTCTCCTCCATTCTCCTCTCGGGATCTCGGGCACGCACGCACACGCACCCGGCGTGAGTTTAAGCCACCAGGTCCGGGACGCGAACCACGGTCGACCACGTGGGAGTCCAGCGACATAGTCATTACGCTAACTGCTGGTCCCAAGTATATTCTTTTAAACAAGCCTTCATTTAAGCCTTCATTTAAGCCTTCTGAATGCAGATTTCAGTAAACTCAGCTTGGCCACAAAGGAAATGCACAGACCTCCCTCCACACCACTCAGACTCAGCTCCTCCCAAGTTCCAGCCACCATTTCGGACCCACTGTAGGCAGAGCCACAAGCACAGTCAGCCCCCAGTTCTCACAGGGACGTTCCAGGACACCCGAGGACACCCGAATCTGCAGGTTCTCAGGTCCCTGGTATAAATGGTGTGGTGCAGGCAAGTAGGTGGCATGGGGCTTAAGGCACCGGACCCCACATGGCCAACTGCACAGTTCAAGTCCCAGCCTGGGGCTTGAAAATTATGCAGGGGTGTGTGTGTGTGTGTGTGTGTGTGTGTGTGAGCATGCCCAAAATCCCAAAGGAGACTGGAGGAGAAGAGACTGCGGCATGGCCATCCCCAACAGGGGTGAGTTCTCATCTTCCCTCTGGTCTGTCTGTCTGGCAAGAGCTTGCACTGTGTAGCAAGAACAAACAAAAACGAAAACTAGCGTGGTCCCTGCACAGGCTGTGTGAGTACACACGCCCTCCGTATGTCCAGGCTGTCTCCGATCACTGATCGGCACCGTGTAGACACCCCGTGACCTGGCGTGGTCCCTGCACAGGCTGTGTGAGTACACACGCCCTCCATATGTCCAGGCTGTCTCCGATCACTGATCGGCACCGTGTAGACACCCCGTGACCTGGCGTGGTCCCTGCACAGGCTGTGTGAGTACACACGCCCTCCATATGTCCAGGCCGTCTCCGATCACTGATCGGCACCGTGCAGACACACTGTAACCAGCTATTAAGCCGCACTGGCTCTCATTAGTATTACTGTAATTGCCATAGAGTTTTTTATTCTTGTTCTCAAATATTTTCAGGCCATGGGGGAGTGCCTCTTTGGAGCGTAAGCTGCAGGCGTGTGGACTGGAGGTAACTGGGGACATGTGGTCACCCCGAGGTGCCTGCTGCTTCGACACTCTGGGCTCCACGGTTCCCCACCCGGCAGGTCTGATGTCACACGTCCCCATAAAGACCACGGAGGGCAGTCGAGGCGTCTGTCTCCCTGTCTCCTCGGATGCACTATTCACAGTCATGACCACGTGTGACCGCGTTCACTGCAGCCTGGGTGTCTAACGTCACATAGATTTTCTCCAAAGGACCTGCCCGTAAGGTTGTGTTAGTGAAAGTCGTTTACACAGCAGAGGACCGATGTGTGTGGGTGTGGGGCCCTGAGCAGCAGCATTTTCCAAGCCTCCTAAGGGCCGAGATGGGTCGCAGTGCGCCAGGGTCAACGTGCCTGGCCCGGCCAGCATGGCGCTCACTCTGCCCCCCGCGCGGCTTGTTCTCAGAAGCCATCCGCCCTCCATCTGCACCTTAGGAAGAGCAGAACCACCAGAGCGAGCACAGACAGGCGCAGTGCAGTGCCCACCGCCTCCTTCTGCCTCTGAGCCACGCTGTCACTCAAGCCTGACGGGAAGGGGGCTGGGGAGCCCTCCCGCTGCTTACAGGGTTTCTTGGCGTTGCGCTCCACTGGCTTCTCCGCCTGCTTCTTCTTCAGGTACGTCACCTTCTCCACCAGGGACAGCAGGCGTCCTCGAATGGTGGAGTCACTGCTCCCGTCCAGAGACCCGTCTTCATCCAGCTCGATTCCTGGATGAGGAGAGCAGAGAAAGCGAGAAGATAACACGGCCCAAAAAACGAACGTGGGAAGTGCTTCTCAGGCCTCATCCACGACTTCAGGCAGTGGCTGGAGTGTCTCACAGCACGAGAGAGGGCCTCCCAACCCGCATGCAGGACAGGCCGTCTCCGCATCGCCTTTGCTCGGGTCCCGCTCAGACCATCAACAGCCAGGACAGAGACCAAAGAGACGCTCCGGACAAAGACCACCTCTGCTCCGGGCCGGCCCTGCACGGCTCCGACTCGGACACCGTCATTGGCCCTGCACGGCTCCAACTCGGACACCGTCATTGGCCCTGCACCTGACTCTCGCACCAGCTCTACAGTCACTCTGGCTCTGACTCCGACACCACCACTGCCCAGCCCCGTGGTGCTTGCTGGCCTGACTGCACCTTCCTGTCCTACCCCTGGGAAGGTCAGACTGCTCCGACAAGTCCGAGGCAGCAGAAACCGACATCACTCAGCGCACCCTGGGGGCTGTACTTCCGAACCGATAACCTTCCTTTCAGGGTGGCCTTTTATTTACAGCATCTACAATGAGATCTTCAAAAAGCACTTGGAAAATGCATATTATGAAAACTACACATGGATTTCAAATTTTTTTGCACCAAAATAAGCTCGTACCTTTAGTTCCATTTTCACACAAACTTGTCACAGTCCCACAGACACAGTATAAGTTCTGGCAAAATCTTAGTGGTTCTCGTTCACAAATTGGATTAATGTGCAAGGTGGTATTTTTATTTCCTCCATTAAAACAAGATAAAAATAATACCATTGGTGACAGATAGATTTATCACTTAATAAACAGCTACTCCACTCTCACTGAAGCACAGACTTATCCACAGCACTGCAGCAAGGGATGAAGCCCTCACTTCCGGAATGCTAGTCCAGTCCACTTCATGTGTTCTCAGACTAAAGGAAGCGCAATGTCCCTTAACCTCTGCCATGGCTCACGTGGGCCTTCGCTGGGCAATCGTTCATGTCAGAGGACAGACAGCGGCTCTCCGAGGTCCGTCCGAAAAGCAGCCTCTTGGGCGGTTCAGATACAAATGTCTATGATCGATTTCTTCTCTTTTAAGAAAGCACTATCAGTGGTAACTGCTAAGCAAAACCACGTCTACTCGGTGTACACTTGCACACGCCTGGGTGCACACGCCTGGGAGCTCCCTCCACGCAGCCAGGGCACAGGCACGGCTCTGGACCTACTGCCCCTCGGCTTCTACAGCCATGTGCTTGCCTTGTCATAAGAACACCCAGCCTAACATCGACCTCTCGTGAAGGATCAGGTGAACCACACGGAGAGACCCCGGGCTCGCGGCCACGCAGCCGTGGAAGCGCGTCATGGGCCGGAGGGGCGCATGGTGCCCCGAGCTTCCGCGTCGCCAGCTGAACCCCCCTGACACCAGCCGCGTGTGCCCAGCTGCCGAGGGGGGAGGGGAGAGCAGGTCCCTCCACTGCCTGCTCAGCCTGACTGTAGGGGGTCCACCACCCAGGACCTCCCACACAGGGTCGTGAACCACATCGCTGGGAAAAGCGCTTGGTGTGAACTTCCGCAGGTGTTGTGTGCATTTTTGACACTCCCCGCATAGACACTTAACTTTGTGCCAGTGTATGTGAATTGAAAAAACACATTTAACAGGAGCTGAGACTCCTTACCACAGTGCGCCATCAAGTCTTCATGGAAATCCAGGAGTTGGTCCCGGATTTCCTCAGGGCATGGACATTCACTTTTGTCATCCTTGAAGTTGAGAAGCATATTGATCTGAAGGTTTGGGAGGAAAGAGTAAGAATGAGGGGAAAGGTGGCTTCAGGAATGATACAGCAGTCAGGGAAGCGGAGGGTTCAAGACCTGTCTCTGACACTCTTGCCCAGTGAGTGACAACCCCTCAGCCATCCCTCCAACCCAAGTAATCCACAGAATAAATCAAAGAATCCAAGTTTAGCAGGCTGCAAAACAGTCAAATAATTCATCTCTCTTTCTCAATTCCACAATATGTTAGACTCGGCCATAATTTTAGAATTCTGAACAAGGGATCTAACTGCTATGATTTATTTATTTATTTATTTATTTATTTATTTATTTATTTATTATTTATTTAGCCATAGGGTGCATGTACTTGCTGGAAAGAGACAGACAGACAGTGAAAGTAAGAAATCACCCCCAGAGGAGATAGCCACACCACAATCCCTTGCCCCCCCATTCTCCTTCCAGATTTTTGGGCATGCACACACATGTACCCGACATGATCGGCAGCCTCCAGGCCCAGGACGCGAACTGTGGTCAGCCATGTGGGAATCCAGCATCTTACCCACCATGCCCCCTGCTGGCCCTTTAACTGCTATTTGTAAGTAGTATTTTATTGTGTTTCTCCTGAATTTCCAGTCTTCAAGCTAGTACCTACACTTTATTGAATATTTTAAAGAACGCTTTTTGAGGAGACAACTACAAAGAAGGGAAAATCCAAACAGAATTGAAAAGCAATGCAATGAGTGCTGCTAACATTACCGGCTCAGTTAAACCACTGCAGGCCAGGTCCCGTCATCTCAGTGCCACCCACAATAGTATACAGGTACAAATGAAAAAGACAGGCCAGCCCTCTTCCATCGTTCCCCCAGGACACAATTAATTACAGGGTTTCGCTTCACACTCCGTGGGATCTTCCTTCTGCTGAACTCTTGTTCCGAGGTGACTGCAGACTCTCGCACGCCTGCAGGAACAGCCGCAAGGGGGCTGGCACGCCCCTCCAGCTCCCACATGGGTTTTGCCTAAGAGGACGAGGTCGCACCAGGATGGCAGCACAGAGGTACCTGAGATTCAGGACAGCCTCTCTACCTTGAAGGTCCCCACTTGCAGGGCTTTATCCACTTTCCTCCGCTGCATCTCCCCTAGACGCCTGGAAACCAGCTACCTGCTTCCCTGTCTGTGTCATTTCCAGAACGTGGCGTGGATGTGGTCAGGCAGTGCGTACAGTGGTAGGACTCTCCCGTGACCCTTCCCCGACACGCTCCCTGGACTGTAACACGGGCTGTACGCACAGGGGCGCCCTGGCTCCTCCCCCACGTGTGCCGACACTTCTTGTAGTACAGCTGCTTTCTAAAAGAATTATTTGTTCAATTTTATTTTTATAATTATCATTTTTTAACTTGCTAAGTAAGACACATGCACTCACCAGAAAGAGACACACAGAGAGAGAGAGAGAAAGGAAAAGTGAGAAAGCAAGCCTGCAGGTCCGGGATGCGAACTGCAGTCAGCCATACGGGAGTCTAGCGCCTCAGCCCCACGCTGCCTGCCTGCCGTCCAGCTGTCTCAGTGCTGCCCTGGCACCAGTCTACACGTCCACGGCTAACATGTGTACCGGACTGACCTTGCCGGCGTGAGGAGCACAGGAAGCCTACCGCCTGCACGTGCGTCAGCCAGCCCCACTTACGATATGCCAGTCCTGGCGCCATGCCGGGCGGTGTTCCACCTCTCACTCCAAGCACCGGCATCATTTAGAACACTCCCAACAAGTAACTGCATTGAGTTTACCGCCACTTTAAGACTTCCCGTTGTTTTTCTTCCTTACTTTCCACATTTCTTCATCTGCCATTTTCTGTGAGGGTACGTCTGCTGCACTCAGATCCCCATAATTTTCCTTTATTTGTAAGCATCTGCCTTCCTCCTGCCTTCCAGAAGGAAGCTCTCTGGGCTGACTGTTGTCTTCTTCCAGCATGTCCAGCACGTTGGCATGCCAGAAGTACGCCACGTCCTCTGGCCCAGGTTTCTAATGAGAGGTCCCTGTCGCCCGTGCTGCATCCCCGTGGCTCACGCCACGTCCCACTCACAGGCCAGGCATGGCATGTACCCGACATGATCGGCAGCCTCCAGGCCCAGGACGCGAACTGTGGTCAGCCATGTGGGAATCCAGCATCTTACCCACCATGCCCCCTGCTGGCCCTTTAACTGCTATTTGTAAGTAGTATTTTATTGTGTTTCTCCTGAATTTCCAGTCTTCAAGCTAGTACCTACACTTTATTGAATATTTTAAAGAACGCTTTTTGAGGAGACAACTACAAAGAAGGGAAAATCCAAACAGAATTGAAAAGCAATGCAATGAGTGCTGCTAACATTACCGGCTCAGTTAAACCACTGCAGGCCAGGTCCCGTCATCTCAGTGCCACCCACAATAGTATACAGGTACAAATGAAAAAGACAGGCCAGCCCTCTTCCATCGTTCCCCCAGGACACAATTAATTACAGGGTTTCGCTTCACACTCCGTGGGATCTTCCTTCTGCTGAACTCTTGTTCCGAGGTGACTGCAGACTCTCGCACGCCTGCAGGAACAGCCGCAAGGGGGCTGGCACGCCCCTCCAGCTCCCACATGGGTTTTGCCTAAGAGGACGAGGTCGCACCAGGATGGCAGCACAGAGGTACCTGAGATTCAGGACAGCCTCTCTACCTTGAAGGTCCCCACTTGCAGGGCTTTATCCACTTTCCTCCGCTGCATCTCCCCTAGACGCCTGGAAACCAGCTACCTGCTTCCCTGTCTGTGTCATTTCCAGAACGTGGCGTGGATGTGGTCAGGCAGTGCGTACAGTGGTAGGACTCTCCCGTGACCCTTCCCCGACACGCTCCCTGGACTGTAACACGGGCTGTACGCACAGGGGCGCCCTGGCTCCTCCCCCACGTGTGCCGACACTTCTTGTAGTACAGCTGCTTTCTAAAAGAATTATTTGTTCAATTTTATTTTTATAATTATCATTTTTTAACTTGCTAAGTAAGACACATGCACTCACCAGAAAGAGACACACAGAGAGAGAGAGAGAAAGGAAAAGTGAGAAAGCAAGCCTGCAGGTCCGGGATGCGAACTGCAGTCAGCCATACGGGAGTCTAGCGCCTCAGCCCCACGCTGCCTGCCTGCCGTCCAGCTGTCTCAGTGCTGCCCTGGCACCAGTCTACACGTCCACGGCTAACATGTGTACCGGACTGACCTTGCCGGCGTGAGGAGCACAGGAAGCCTACCGCCTGCACGTGCGTCAGCCAGCCCCACTTACGATATGCCAGTCCTGGCGCCATGCCGGGCGGTGTTCCACCTCTCACTCCAAGCACCGGCATCATTTAGAACACTCCCAACAAGTAACTGCATTGAGTTTACCGCCACTTTAAGACTTCCCGTTGTTTTTCTTCCTTACTTTCCACATTTCTTCATCTGCCATTTTCTGTGAGGGTACGTCTGCTGCACTCAGATCCCCATAATTTTCCTTTATTTGTAAGCATCTGCCTTCCTCCTGCCTTCCAGAAGGAAGCTCTCTGGGCTGACTGTTGTCTTCTTCCAGCATGTCCAGCACGTTGGCATGCCAGAAGTACGCCACGTCCTCTGGCCCAGGTTTCTAATGAGAGGTCCCTGTCGCCCGTGCTGCATCCCCGTGGCTCACGCCACGTCCCACTCACAGGCCAGGCATGGCTTCTCATGGCTCACACCACGTCCCACTCGCAGGCCAGGCGTGGTTTCTCCCGTGGCTCATGCCGCATCCCACTAGCAGGCCAGGCGTGGTTTCTCCCGTGGCTCACGCTGCATCCCACTCACAGACCAGGCGTGGTTTCTCCCGTCGCTCACGTCACATCCCACTCGCAGGCCAGGCGTGGTTTCTCCTTTGTCGCTCATGCCACGTCCCACTCACAGACCAGGCGTGGTTTCTCCCGTGGCTCACATCACATCCCACTCGCAGACCAGGCGTGGTTTCTCCCGTGGTTCACGCTGCGTCCCACTCGCAGGCCAGGCGCATTCTCAGTCAGGACTTACCCTTCACCTTTAATGCTCAGAAACTGGACTCCGAGGAGTCTCGGCGAGCTCTCTGGTTTTGCCCGTGTGGGACTCGCTCCGCTTCCTGAATCTGTAGCTTCGTATCTTTGCTGAACTTGTCGTCTCGGCCCCTGCTTCGAGTCACTCTTCCTGCCCTCCTCCTGCCACTCCAACATCATAGATTCAGATCTTTTATGACACTCACACTGGTGTCTGAGTCTTCTTCATCTTCTGTCTTTCCACCCAGTGGGATAGTTTTTCTGTCCCTTCCTCGCTCCACTGACCCTCGCTCCACTGACCCTCCCCTCTGCCCGGTCCGGTCTGCTGCTACGCCCGTCTGTTGAGTTCCTGTTTCCAATACCAGATTTTTTTCACATCTGAAATTCCCATTTGGCTCTCTTCTCTTCTTCCCTCCTCCCTCCCACCTTCCTCATAGAGTTTGTGCGCACACAGCAGAGGGGGGAGAGAGGACGGACACTCCACGCAGGGCATGATCACCCTGGGTCCCCTCCTCCTGTCCCCCAGCCCGAGGAACGCTGGACATGGGCACACACACCTGAGGTGTTTTCAGATCAATCTGGCCTAGGACTCGAACCACAGTCAGCATGTGGCTCCCAGTCTGGTACCTTACTGGCCACACGACGGGCTGGCCTGGCTCTTCATTACTTTGCTGAGACGGTCTTTTTCCTACCTCCTATCACATTTATAACACAGAGGCTGCATCCCAAGTCTGTCGGGTAAGGTCAGCACCTGCCACGCAGTCTGTGTTGACCGTAGGTCTTTCCTTGTTCTCGGAGCGACCGTGTTTCCCCGGACGTAGACGTGACGTTCAGGTATTACATCGTGCGCACTGGCCCTTGTTTAAGCCTCTGCTTCTGCTTCCTCTGTCACCATCCAGGAGGAGGGCTTGGGTGCTGGGCACCACAGACCCTGAGGAAGGGAAGGCCTGGGCTTCGAGGCCACTCTGAGGGTGGAAGGTGGTTCTGTCCTCTGCTGAGCGCCTCTGCACGGGCCTGAGAGGCGACGTCTGGGACCCCAGCAGCCCCTTCAAGGCGCTGGGGCACCAAGGCTCTCAGCTGCTCCGTGTGGCCACGGTCTGAGCGTTCCCTCGCTCAGATGCCCCTCTCCCAGGCCCTCTGGTGGAGGCCGTGGCTTTTGTGTCTAGGCCTGCTGCCATCTCCTGGTTGCCGGGTTCTCGAGCACCTTGAGCAGGAGAGATGCAGCAGACGCACACCCAGAGCCATGCCATGGCGTCCTGGGCCGGGGGCGGTAGCCAGGCTTCCTCTCTCCCGCTGGGGCTTCTCACTCGTCTGCCCTGCAATGTCCAGGCGTCAGGCACGCGGAAGGATGAGCGGGGACACATGGGCCCACCAGGCAGAGCTGAGCCAGCCAGCGTTGCCAGCAGGGGAGACCGGGCTTGTCCCCCAGCCAAGAAGGCTGTCCGCAAACGTCCATGTCCCTTTCCTCAAAGACGCAGCCTGTGCAGAGGAAGACAAGCCCTGGGACAGCCTGAGCACGCCCATTCCGAGCTGGGGCAGAGGGCCACGGCGAGGGGAAGGCGTCTGAGGCACATCTTAACCACCGTCCCTATGTCTTAGAACTGCCCCACTCCACCAGCCCGGTCCTAGGGAAGGTTCCAGAAGTGCACATCCCATGACAAACCCATTTACTCCTTGGCTCATGTGCCCTAGACGTGCCGCTGAGCTGACGGGAGCAGGGTCGGCCCGCCAGCAAGCCCAGCAGCGCACACTGTGCTATTTACTTATTTATTTTGGCGAGGTTTGTGCTATCGGGCGTATGCCCTTGCCAGAAAGACAGACAGAGACAGGAAGTGAGAAATCGCCCTCCGGCAGGGATGGCCACGCCGCAGTCCCTTCTCCTCCATTCTCCTCTTGGGTGCTTGGGCATGTATGCACACGTGCCCGGCGTGAGTTTAAGCCACCGGGTCCGGGACTCGAACCACAGTTGACTACACAGCAGTCCAGAGACATAGCCATTACGCTACTGCTGGTCCCTGGACATGTGCTCTTGAAGGAGAACTCCGCGGACAGCACCCAGCCCTTGCCCTGGAGCACAGGGCTCCTGCTAGGAGCGTTGCTGGTCGGCCAGAGGCGTAAGCCTGCAGTGTGCGGGCCGGCCCGAGAGAGCCCGGGACAGCCCCACTGTCTGGCAGTAGGGCCTGCTTTTGCTTAAACTAACCAAGCAGACACTCGGTGAGACTCAGAGCATGAACTGAATCACCTGGAGGAGTTTAAACAGCAAGTGGCACCATAACTCGGGGCGTGGCTTGCCACGTACAGCCCGAACGAGGAGGACGGGCACAGGCAACCTCCGCCCCGCGCCGTACCTGCTCCTGCGGTGGTGACCGGAACTCTCAGCTGCTCCGTGTGGCCACGGTCTGAGCGTTCCCTCGCTCAGATGCCCCTCTCCCAGGCCCTCTGGTGGAGGCCGTGGCTTTTGTGTCTAGGCCTGCTGCCATCTCCTGGTTGCCGGGTTCTCGAGCACCTTGAGCAGGAGAGATGCAGCAGACGCACACCCAGAGCCATGCCATGGCGTCCTGGGCCGGGGGCGGTAGCCAGGCTTCCTCTCTCCCGCTGGGGCTTCTCACTCGTCTGCCCTGCAATGTCCAGGCGTCAGGCACGCGGAAGGATGAGCGGGGACACATGGGCCCACCAGGCAGAGCTGAGCCAGCCAGCGTTGCCAGCAGGGGAGACCGGGCTTGTCCCCCAGCCAAGAAGGCTGTCCGCAAACGTCCATGTCCCTTTCCTCAAAGACGCAGCCTGTGCAGAGGAAGACAAGCCCTGGGACAGCCTGAGCACGCCCATTCCGAGCTGGGGCAGAGGGCCACGGCGAGGGGAAGGCGTCTGAGGCACATCTTAACCACCGTCCCTATGTCTTAGAACTGCCCCACTCCACCAGCCCGGTCCTAGGGAAGGTTCCAGAAGTGCACATCCCATGACAAACCCATTTACTCCTTGGCTCATGTGCCCTAGACGTGCCGCTGAGCTGACGGGAGCAGGGTCGGCCCGCCAGCAAGCCCAGCAGCGCACACTGTGCTATTTACTTATTTATTTTGGCGAGGTTTGTGCTATCGGGCGTATGCCCTTGCCAGAAAGACAGACAGAGACAGGAAGTGAGAAATCGCCCTCCGGCAGGGATGGCCACGCCGCAGTCCCTTCTCCTCCATTCTCCTCTTGGGATCTTGGGCATGTATGCACACGTGCCCGGCGTGAGTTTAAGCCACCGGGTCCGGGACTCGAACCACAGTTGACTACACAGCAGTCCAGAGACATAGCCATTACGCTACTGCTGGTCCCTGGACATGTGCTCTTGAAGGAGAACTCCGCGGACAGCACCCAGCCCTTGCCCTGGAGCACAGGGCTCCTGCTAGGAGCGTTGCTGGTCGGCCAGAGGCGTAAGCCTGCAGTGTGCGGGCCGGCCCGAGAGAGCCCGGGACAGCCCCACTGTCTGGCAGTAGGGCCTGCTTTTGCTTAAACTAACCAAGCAGACACTCGGTGAGACTCAGAGCATGAACTGAATCACCTGGAGGAGTTTAAACAGCAAGTGGCACCATAACTCGGGGCGTGGCTTCCCACGTACAGCCCGAACGAGGAGGACGGGCACAGGCAACCTCCGCCCCGCGCCGTACCTGCTCCTGCGGTGGTGACCGGAACTCTTTGGTCTTGCGAGCCGTGAGGGCGGCCGACATGTTCAAGGCCTGCATGACCTCGTTGTAGCGGAAGCGTTGGTTGTCCTGGAGCTTGGCCACGAAGCCGTCCGAGAAGGCCACGATGGCTTCGATGCGGTGCCGCACCTGGCAGTCACAGAGGTGCTGGAGCAGGAGGCACATCTGCAGAGGGGACACATCGCATCTGTCACGCCTCAGCAAGCCGGTTCGCGTGTCCCCGTGGCGAGCGTGCACAGCTGCCTGCCCTCCCATGCACATGGGTGGCCACGTATGTGCTCCCAGGGGACAACACGCCATGTGCCCACACCAGAAGGGCAAATGCACATGAACACTCACCACCCGGCCTCCCCCACAGCCACACGAGACATTTGAGGGGAAGCTGCTACAGGTGTTCTGCGGGGTCTCGGTACACGGTCCACCCCAGACACACATGTTCTCACACCACGAGGTATCCAAGACTTTCCACTGCTCACACCAGATGGGGATGCCCTGGCTGGGCCCCGAGGGGTCACTGGGCAAGCTGCCACACCCAGGAGCGGACCAAGGGCAGATCCTGTGCTGCGGACACACTAGGTCTGAGGACACCACTGGGAGGCCACGCCCTGCCCGGGACCCCGCACTGCAGGGGAGCTGCTTACTCAGAAAGTGATGGGCGTGCGTGTGCTTGCGGAGGTCAAGGAACTCCACCTGATGTGGAGCACCAGCGAAGCCACTGACAGAGGCTCAGGCAAGCTCAGGAAAACGCCCACACGCCACCCCAGTGGGTACAAGTAGGTGGTGGTGTCGAGGAGGGCCCTGAGCCCTGTGCACGCCGTCCACGACGCGACCATCCGTGTTGGTGCTGCTCCCGTGAAGCCCGGCATGCTCTCCTGCTCTACGCCCTGCCCGTCCTGGTGCAAGCACCACCCCACACTGGACCACTGGGCAGCGCCTCACCAACCGGCCTGGACAGCTCGCCAGGGCGTCTTCCTCACAGCAGCCATCAGGCCCTCCCTGCCTTGGGACCGTGGCCCAGCCCTTCCCCAGAACACCCTGCCGTGCCTCACTGCCTGAGCTCCAGCCGCTCCGTGGCCTCCCCTAAGCTGCCATCTGCAGGAGCTGTGCCCCCACGCAAGCAGCGGCGTCTCCTCCCTCCCCCCAGTCTGTTCTCGACCTCTATGTGATATGACCAGCAATGGGTTAGGCTGCGAGCCTGTGGGACGAGGGATACAACCGACCCTTCCCAGCACCTGCACGCCGCCCAAGAGGGCTTCAGCCAAGCCGCGTGCAGGACACCGGGGAGCCGGTGCTTATGGACAACACCAGCTGCTGGCAAGCTCTAGAGCATGAGGAGAGGACCTCGGGCCCCTCGCTGAGCAAGGTGCAGATCTGACCCTCAGGAACGGACGGCAGAAGGGGCGAGATAAGTGTGAGGGCACACACATCGGGTGAACCGGGTCCAAAATATCACAGTAGGGGAGGGCGCGTCTGAGACCCCACGGTGTGAGGACGCGCTTCAGGGCTGGGACCCCGCGGTGGGAGGACGCGCATCTCTTGTGGAGACTTTGCTCTCAGACCTCGTGTGTGAGGACTGTGCTTTTATATCCTGTGGTGTGAGGACACACACCCCTGGGTGAAGCGTGTTATGCAAAGCCGCGGTGCGAGGACTCGTGTGTCTGGGCTGAAGTGTGTTCTGTGATTCCGCAGTGAGGATGCACATGTTCAGGGGGCCGTGCTCTGAGACCCTGCTGTGTGAGGACACACATGTACTCATGAACGTGCTCTGATGGTGGAGGTCGAGGGGTGAGGCGTCGGAGGCCCCAGGACCCACATTTCCCAGGTACCGTGAGCAGGAGCCTCTCCCCACGAAGGCCAGGAGTGTGGCGATGCACCAAGGGCTGAGGACGCTGAAAGCAGCCAGCTTTACAAAGAGCCAGCATTACTCGGGAGCATGCACACATGCGCACGCGTACACATGCACACACACGTGCACGCACACACACGCGCAAACACACACACACAGGCCACCAGCCCTGGTCTCGTCACCTGCAGCTTCACCGGCTCTGGCAGCTTCATCTGGAGCAGGCCCTCCTGCGGCCGCGGAGCGCCTCTGCCCTCATCTTCACCAGCTCCTTCGGGCTTCGAGGTGTCGGCGCCAGGCTCCTCCACCGGCGTGTGGGCCCCGTCTTCGTCCTCGTCCTCAGGGCTGGGGTCGGCAGCGTCCTTGAACACACGGGGCTCGATGAGCCGTAGGACATGCCGCAGGTCTTCGCCGTGGAAGACGCCCATGATGAGCAGGGTGTAGAAGAGCTTGATGAGGGGCACGAACAGGAACTCGGTGGTGCCTCCGACCGGGTCACGGGCATGCAGGCTGCCCTCCCTGACGGCCTCCGTCAGCATCTGCATGGTCTTGGCCTTGAGGACGTCCAGCGGGAACTCGGGGCTGTGCTGGAAGCACTCGTGGCCGACGCTCACGCAGCCGGGGGCGGAGAAGTGCATGGGCGGCCGCAGCGAGGTGCTCAGGCCGATGCCCGGGAGCCCGTGCCGCTTGCGCGCGTCGGGGAAGAGGGTGATGCTCTTGGTGTCGGGCGTCATGGGCACGATGAACTCGCCGTCCATGGCGAGCCGGGCCGTGGCGTAGGAGCGCAGGTGGATGTCGATGAGCAGGTCGTAGTAGCCGGCACGCAGCAGCCCCGGCATGTGCTTACTCTCGATGGCGTAGAGCAGCTGCGGCCCGTCCACGTGGCTGCACAGGGCGTGGGCAGCCCGGTGGTTCCCCAGCGCGCACACGGCCGAGTACAGCCGCAGCGTGTGGTAGTGGAAACGCAGCAGCTCCTCCTGCTCCGTCAGCTCCAGGATGTCCACAGACCTGTGGGGAGGGGACTTGGCAGACGGGGGGGACGAGGACGGCCACCACGCCCTCGGCCAGTACGGCGCTCACGCTGCTCCACGCCCAGCCCGCCCAGGCGCCAGGCCGGCCTAACCCCTTTTCCTCCCCACGGAGCTGGACGCCGAAAGCTTCCGGCCTCTGATTCCCCCAGGGCCGGAAGTTCTATCGGGGCGTCAACCTGAACGAGACTCCCTGTTCCAGAGGCTGCGCACTCGGAAACCCGCATCCCTAACCTGGGAGCCCCACTAGGAATTCACAGGCTTTGTCTGGACCACGCTGCCCATGCCTGCCCCGATTACGTCAGCCTCTGGCACGCACAGAGGCTGAGGCAGGGGCCGAGCAGCACCCAGTCTGCGGACAGTGGGCCCTGCAGGGACAGGCGTCCCTTCTCTTCAGGAGTGTTGTCCTTAGTGGAACGTAGCACCGCTCTCCCTGCCAGCTAGAACGCAGACACGTCTGTGCACATGCGAGTGTGTACACGTGTGCCTCGCACACCCTGCTTACCACTGCTCCCTAAGCGCCCAGCACCGAACACTGCCCGGCTCCCAGCAGGGTGTAGGGCCCCGCCGCCCTCGGTGACTGGCATGTGCCCGTGAAACAGGCCAGGGCCCTGCAGGCAGTACGCGTCACCGCCACGCCCCTTCCTGCCCCACCGTATCCGCCTGTCGGCTGGTGGCCACTCTCCGACCACTGCGCTGACTCAGTGACCCTCCGTGCCGAGACCCTGCTCAGCCTGTCATGCCCCCTGGAGGGCAGACGTGGAATGGCCGTGGGTCAATGCCGGCTCTAGCTAGTTTCTAGCCCTGACACTGTCCCAAGCACGGGCGAAAGCTGACGCTCCGGGATGGGTGACAACGCCCTGCGTGTCTGAGGACGTAAACGAGGACGTGGCTGCTGCACATGCCTGGGACTGAAGATGGGGACAAACGTGCCTTTGCATGATCATTTCCACACTTCCCGTTCACGCAGTTTGGGCCTGGACTCTATTTTTTTTAAGAGGTTTTATTTTCTTCCTGCTCTAGGGCACGTGCACTCGCCAGACAGACAGGGAGAGACAGAGAGACAGAAAGCGAGAAATTTCCCCCCGGGGGCGATAGCCACACTGCAATCCCTTCTCCTCCATTCTCCTCTCGGGATCTTGGGCACGCACGCACACATGCCCAGCGTGAGTTTAAGCCACCGGGTCCGGGACGCAAACTGCAGGTGACTACATGGGAGTCCAGCGACATAGCTGTTAATGCTAACTGCTGGTCCCTTGGGCTTGGACTCTTGTGGCATTTGGAAAAGAAACGGTGGCCCAGCCCAGGGCCCCAGCTGCTGGATGGTGCCACGGCAGCTTAAGTGAAGTCGCTGCACTCCGGGCAGAGAGACAGCCACGGGCGAGAGGCAGGAGGCCGTGGGCCTGTGTCCCCGCCCTTGTACCCGCAGCCACTAGTCCCGAGGCTCACACGGTGCCCGCCTTCCCCTCCAGACGTCAGTCTCGGCTCTCGCACCTGTGACGTGCGGGGCTGGCCTGACGTCACACGGTTCTATTACTCCGTCACCTACGACGGGGCTTGCCGTTGTCATTGCAACAAACAGGAGCGTGAGACAAGCCAGCACCTGCCCTGCGGCCTGTCAGTGGGAGCCGTGCTGTGCTCGTAAGCAGTGCAGTGGGGCAGGAACGCTACACGGGGTTTGCCGTTTAAAGCCCACGCGCCCCCAGCCCAGGGCATTGCCGGCACCAAGGCTCACCTGTTCTCCTCGGGGATGTGCAGGGTCATGAACTGCAGCGGGTCCGCACACTGCACCAGCCAGCCCTGGCGCTCACTGACGCGGGCGACGTCCACCTTCAGGAACTGGTTGGGCATGCGGCTCCACAGCACGTGGGACAGGCACTGGACGTGCAGGCGTGGCGGGCACTGTGGCACGGGGTTGCGGTGCTCGCTCTTGAACAGCCCCGCGGACAGCGGCATCACGTTCTGAGGGCAGAGCGGGCGGGCTGTGGACACCTGGGCCACTGGCTAGGGTTGGGCACTGGGAGCCCGGGCGGGGGCGAGCTGGAGGAGGGCTCCTGGAGGGACACGCTCAGTGCACATGGCCACGCCCGGAGCCTGCCACCTCTACCAAATGCTATACTCAAAAGAGCCCCGACACGGCTGCTCCTCGCTCGCACTCACGCCTGAGTTCGCCGCAGCCTGGCATCCAGAATCCGCCCGGTTCGCCCCGCAGGCCCCCGGCCCTCCTGCTGGCTGAGCTGCTCTGCCATGACGGCGCTCTCTGGGACGGCGGCTCCGTCTGCCCTGTCCGCATCTCCCTCCCGCTCAGCATGGCGCCCAGGCACCCCCTTCCCCATCACGGCCAGGCTCTCCAGGCTGTCCCTGCTCCTCCACACTCCGCCTTCGCCACCTGCCCTCAGACACTTCGCTCGCTCTCAGAGACGACACCGACTGCTCTGGAAGACGAGACTCTGACCTCTTGGCAGCACCTTCCCTGAACCCCACTGCGTGTGGACACATATATGTGTTATGTGTACTGGCACACCCTCCACACAGCCATGGAACAGCCCACACGCATGGGCATGCCCATGTCCCCAACAGCAGAACGCCACAGCGCAGACCCTAGGCCCCTCAAAGACTGAGGACCACACCCAGGGCCGCCGACCAGGGATGCTCGTGCCCTGTGCCCACTGCCGCGTGCCGGCGCCGCGACCCACAAACACAGGTAAGCCCAGTCCCACGCCTGCCCTCCACAGCACGGCCCTGAAGCGGCTCGTCAGGAGGGCCGGGACGCTGAAGTAGCCCTCAGCCTGGCACCCCCTGGAGCACCTGCCCAACTCAAAGCGGCACCTGGTCCTACAGAACATTTCTCACCTGCCGCCCCTCCGCAGAGGCGGTGTTGGGGTCAGAGCACCCGCTCCTGCCCGTGCTCACACCAGCTCTCTTCCAAAACGAGCCTTGCACGCCCGGCACCCTCCTTCCCAGTGCCGGCGTGTCGCCATCCCGTGACCGCGCAGCCACCCGCCAGCCGGCCGCAGG